TTGGAAATATGCTAAATATAATATTCATCATGGTTTGATTTTTGTACTCTTACTGTATGATAATTGCATGAAGTAGTATGATGATATTATTGGATCCTTTCAATGCAATTACACAATTTATAATGAGGTTTACTTTACAGTACATCATTCTTTCATGCAGCTATACTTATTCCATGTGTATGCATGTCTGTAATGCAAACATGTTTTGTTGTGATATTTTAATTAATTGTATCCACGCACTGTGTTAACAAGATGCAGTATTATGTATTTTATAGATCATTCTAGTGCACATCTGTACTGTATTATATCAAATTATTTCCATGTTTATAGCCATTTTTATATTACAAGGGCATTGTTCTGTCAACACATTACAGTATGATAATATTTTTGTTGGATCTGTTGTATGTCCACATATTTAGCTATCATTATGATATATGAATTATTATATCAAATTATTTCCTTGTTTACAGCCATTGATATATTGCAAGGGCATTGTTCTTTCATCACATTGCAGTATGATGATGTTTTTGTTGGATCTGTTGTATGTCCATATATTTAGCTATCATTATGATATTTGAATTATATCAAATTATTCCATGTTTACAGCTATTTTTATATTACAAGGGCATTGTTCTGTAAACACATTACAGTATGATAATATTTTTGTTGGATCTGTTGTATGTCCACATATTTAGCTATCATCATATTTGATTTGGATCCTTTCAGTGCACACTCATTCTGATTCTATAGTACTGTGATGTCATCTTTCATCCAGTCATCTATATTAGCAATTTTTAAAGCTTGTATCGGATCCTTCTATGTCAATACATTTGTTTATATCACTACTGTACATGATAGTTTAATCAGATCCTCCAAATGTAATATGCTATTAAAGATATGATTCTGTCACCTAATGTACTTTCCAATACATTACTGCTGTTAGAGTGATTATTGTTAGCTTTTGCTTAATATTCCCCTGAGTATTAAATGCTCATATGTTCACTCAATAATAATTATTATTAGCAAATTATTGTCAAGTACTTGAGTTTTTTTGTTTTTTTTTGCTTCAGTTAATAAACACTGCAGTGCTCTCCCTTCTCATGTTCATGTGTCTCTCTCTTTGTTCATCATCAAGAAAATACTCAATTACCAGTACCGCATTGGCTGTTTTGTACCATGAGAAAAGTATAAACTATTGTTTCTAAATCTACTCTAATTACTTTTAAATGTGATGCTACATGCTGTATTCTTCTAGTAAGGCGGGACCTTCTTTATTCCTTGTTTCGCGTACTTTTTTTTTTAAAAAAGATTATCGGAGGAGAGCTATCGGAGGAGAGCTATCGGAGGAGAGCGGAATAAAAATAAAAGTAAAATTTTGTTTTCTCATTTAGCAAATAGTCTTGCCAAAATCATTCAGATGGAGGAGAAAATAAAAATAAAATTTTATTGGTGAATATAAAATAGGATGGTTGAACGTTATAATATAAGGCAGTTCCATAGTTTGCTGCGTGAAGTATATCAGCGCATTTGCACTCGATCCTCCTCCGGTACCCACTTACACACCTGGGTGGAGAGCTCAAGGGCTCAAGTGAAATACACGGTGTGGGATTGAAATCCCAAACTCAAGGTTGGGAAACCAAACTGTTCTGCTGCGCCAAGCCATTTCCACATTCATTTTAGAGTTCCATAATATGTAAAATTACATCGGAATATTTTTCTGCAAGACAAATTAAGTTAAGCTCGCCGATAGGGCTCCTATCTGAAAGTCTTAACCTATACAATGCTACCACTACTTATTAAGAAGTGTGCTATACTTGCGTAATACTATTTTAAACATTCTCTTTCAAACTATGGTAGTATACAAAATAACTGGATTTTTTTACAAATAACTGTTGGATTTTATTGTAGGTTTCTTTTTTTCTGGTAAAGTTATGCTTTTTTAAACCCTTTTACAGTATGATAGCTCTGGTGATATCAATAGTCCAGGTGTACGGTAGTTCTAGTTTTACAAGAACATAAAGGTCAACCATCATGCTACATGACATATTTATTTAATGATTCATTCTGAATTTGCATGATTGTAGATTAGATGTAAGGGTAGTCACTACAGTAGCTGTCTTGTGCTGCAAAATAAAATGATAGTCATAAAACAGTGTACACTATAAAGCCCTATCCAGAGGTGACGGAACTAGGGGGTGCTGTGTTATGGAGAGTAATGTGTGATCGGAAATGGTCTGCATCAGTTGGTTGTTACCATGCGCCAGTGATGTTGGAGTATAAGTACAGCAAGATGAAACTATTATGTAGGCCAAATGAATAAAGTTCGGAGTTTGTCGGGTAGTGAAATGATTATTGTACATTTTAAGCGCTAGCTAAATTCATAAGTGTAAGCTAACTTACGGTGATTAATTTAATTAGCGAAGATATGGAGACAATTATTTCAAAGTTCCCTCTTTCCAAGAGGGGATGCAAATGCTTTGTGAAAATGAGTACGCCGCGGTACTCATTTCCACAAAGAAATACACACAACTGGTTAGCTAACAATATGCCAATACATGAACACCTGGGAAGGAAGGTTCAATCACGTTGTTGCCCAGCAAACGTCTGTACTGTATGGGGGGGGGGGGCGCTACTGATGTACAGTGTAGCGGATGACGATGAGGCATACCTAATAAGACTAGGGTTAGACCTAGGCCCAGGCCTAACTAGACAGGTGCAATAATATGTAATAGAAAGTACACTTTCGAAAGAAACAAATTAAAATAAAATTTAAAAAAACAAAAACAAATAACTAAGAATAATTCAGTTGCAGAGCTACCTTGTACGTATTATACAATGCTAACAATGGGGCTCTTGTATCCCTAGCTAGGACAAGGCATCCATAAGCAAAGCAGTGGTGTTTGTTTATCCATGAAAAAAGCACGTCTGGATAGTTTTCCTTACCAGGAAAAGGTGACGTAATCTAGGTTATGACGCATGCATGCTAACTATAGTGTGAGTGTGACGTCACCAAAACATGAAAATTTTCTATTATAACCAAAATATTAAAGCCCCATTCCCGGCAAAATTTTAGTTTTTAAGAAAAATCTAATTTTTGTATAATGTTGTAAAGATTTATAAATATAATACGGAATTGCTAGTTTAACTGAATTTAGACATTCCTAAGAATGAAAAAAATGTCAAATAAGACTGAAATTTGATTTTTTTTTGTGTTCCACACAAAAAATAAATGCGGATAAATTTTTCATGTTTGATTTTGCGATAGGTTGTGAGAAGAAATATCGTAGGCGCCGAAAACGTTAGCTTATCCAACGCTGCTAGGCTAGGCCTAGCCTTACCTCGATTTAGGTTCTGTTTATCACACATAAAAACGGCCGACATGATATTTTCCGTTGCTAGTATTGACACTTGTGAAATATAAATATTTCATAGGAATTATTTCAAATTTGTTAAAAAAACTTATTCTGACTGAGATTTTGACACTTAAACAGACATATCTCAGCTTTAATCGAACGACCGCATTGTGTGAGATACGAAGTACAAAAACTAATCTCATTAGAGAGGGCGCACTTTATTGACTGTATAAAAGTATACAAAAAGCGAGAGTATTCCAGTGGATGCGATCTACAACCTCTGAATTTGCCTAGTAACGATGAATTCGTCGAGAAAATGGTAATATTTTATGAGAAATAGTCTGTATTTCTCTTTTTTTTTTAATTCTTTTGCGTAAAACTAAAATTCATACCAATATTTTTCCATGATTTATAATAATTGGAGTAATGCAAATGAATATTTTCTAAAAAAAGTCAGTCAGCTAAATAGTGAAATTTTGCCGGGAAAGGGGCTTTAATAACTACAAGGTTTCGGGGCGTAAATTCCCTTAATACGAATTAGGGGTTGCACAATCTCCTTGCCATACAAATTACAGCTCCCATTGACGTCTCAGTCGGGAAATACAGGTTTTTCTCGCAAATCTGACTACAAAACCATATCCAAATTTCACGTTCCACTTTTGACCCTGATTTGTGCTTCGCACTCGCCGCTGAGGGCAGCGTTCCGGGAACCCTGCGTCCAGATTATCACATTTTGTTTGACAAAAAAATGTGACATGCCTACTGTAAATATGGTCATGATGACATCACATCATAACTACATAATCATGACTATAATTAGCATACAACAGTTTTTTGTTTTTTTTTTAAATACAGTTTGGTAGTCTTGATACTGTTTTAGCTTTGATTTACAATTTTATAACAATGCATATGTAATGTAAGATTTCATTTAAATCGTAAAGCTTTTTTTTTTGTCATACTATCTGATGAAGGAGGCTTTGACCTATCATTTTTCATTGTTTATTATCATTTAATGTTTCTTCTCTACAATTGTTTTTATAATGAAAGTAATTAAATGTAGGTTGTCTGCGTGGGTGGATGACACTTGGTACAGTACATGGACACTCGTTAAAAATTCCCACTCGCAATCTTTCAGATTCAGGCTCAGCAGTGTCTAATACAATTTCAAATTGAATAATAAGTGCTGTAAATATATAGTATATTTTGGTTTGTGTATTGCATTTCAATTTTATAGGCCTATTTTTTCTTGTGCAAATTTTTAATCATCTATTTTACTGATAACTTGTTGGTCTTTGATTCACATTTTTATTGAAGTTGTCCAAATTTTAAATATGTAATCTGTTGTATGTACAGGTGTTACAGAGACCTTTGTGTTGTCTTTGACGTCAAATAAATAAATAAAAATGAAAATGTAATGAAATATATTTAACTATCTTTTATTTTTATTATTTATTATTGTCTATGTGGGTGGATGACTCTTATAGTACTGTACAGTACACTTATTAAGATTGCAACTATCCCACTCACAATCTTTCCAACTCGGGTTCTGCAGTATCTAATATGTATAATAAGTGCTAAATATAAAAGATATATAGTTTACTTTATTTTGTGTATTTAATCATCTTTTCTTTTTTTTTCTTTCTATAGGAATTGATTTTAAGATTAGGACTATAGAACTAGATGGAAAAAAAATCAAATTGCAAATATGGTAAGTTCAGTAATTTTTAATTATTATGATTATAATATTGAAAAATAAAAACAAAATTTACAAGATAATAATACTAGGTCGCGCCTATTAATAACACAGTAGTTGTATTTCAAGGATGCTCATTTACTTTGTCTTGCAAAGATTGACCTTTGAATAAGATGTTTCTGTAAACTATTCTATTGAAAGTTGAATTTTTTTTAACGAAAAATCTCTAATTCACTAATAAGGCACACAACACTATACAGTGCCACAAGCAAAATCAGTTCTTTTGTGTGTTTTACTACTGTTTTTACATGTTGTGTGTTCGTGCTGTTCTACAGTCGAAGACCATAATCCTTTATAATAATTGTTCAGAGTAGATTATATATTTTTTTCTTTTTTAATTTAGGGATACCGCTGGGCAGGAACGATTCAGGACCATCACCACAGCATACTACAGAGGTGCAATGGTAGGCCTAACATTTCACACCATTGTTATATTGTATTAATTTATGTATGCTAAAAGCTAGTATTTTCTGGTTCAATGACTAATAAATAGACATCGCACTCTAAATTTCTGCAGGATGATCCTTTGAAGATAATAACTCTTTTATGAAATATGCTTATTGAATGATTATTAAGTATTATTATTGATGTTGACCCGTCTGTAAAATAGTGACCCAATTTTCATTTTATGTTGTTTTTATTATCAAATAACTATTGATTAATATTTGCTATTGTTGCAGGGTATCATGCTTGTTTATGACATCACCAACATCAAATCTTTTGACAACATCAGGAATTGGATTAGGAACATTGAAGATGTAAGGAGCTAATTGTGGTTTCAATCAAATCCTGCTATGTGGTTTGGTTTTAATATGGGTGTTGCTCTAAACTGGATAAAATAATAATTACTTTTCATACTTTACTTTTGAGCTCAGATGAAATCATGCAGATCTAAAAATACTCAGTACTACTATACTATACTCAAAACCTGACTTTAATTGCTTGATATTGACATAATCTTATCATATCCATGAGTAATATCAAGTATTTGTCACACTAAACTTGACTGTGAACAGAGGTTTAATAAATTACTGTGTGAAACATGTACACATATGATAGTGTGAACAGAGGTTTAATTGAATGCTACATGAAACATGTACACATATGATAGTGTGAATAGAAGTTTAATTAAATACTACATGAAACATGTACACATAATAGTGTGAACAGAGGTTTAATTAAATACTACATGAAACATTTACACATATGACAGTGTGAACAGAGGTTTATTGAATACTACATGAAACATGTACACATAATAGTGTGAACATAGGTTTAATTAAATACTACATGAAACATGTACACATAATAGTGTGAACAGAGGTTTAATTAAATACTACATGAAACATGTACACATATGATAGTGTGAACAGAGGTTTATTGAATACTACATGAAACATGTACACATAATAGTGTGAACAGAGGTTTAATTAAATACTACATGAAACATGTACACATAATAGTGTGAACAAAGGTTTAATTAAATACTACATGAAGCATGTACACATAATATTGTGAACAGAGGTTTAATTAAATACTACATGAAACATGTACACATATGATCTTATTATCTATGTTTTGTTTATATTTGTTTATTTTTTATTGTTTTGTTTCCCAGCATGCATCAGCAGATGTGGAAAAGATGATCTTGGGAAATAAGTGTGACATGGATGATCGAAGACAGGTGTCAAAAGAGAGAGGCGAACAGGTTAGATGTCATTTGCTTAATCTATCATGTATCTTTGATGTATATTGTATCATTCAAGGGTGAAAGGTCATGTCTTAACACCACAGAGGTCATTGTCTATAAAGTCCATGGTCAGTCATTAGGCAGCTTTCGCTTTGTGCGACGACGCGGCGCTAGAATGGAATCACTCATGTGTGACTGTCCTACCTAGCGTCTTACGTTCTCTGCATACATAGATTTGACCAAATTGCTTTCAAAAACATACTCGACGAGGTGACCCTAACGCTCTCGCATGCACAGATGTCTTTTACTGACGTCATTACGTTCTACGTCCTACCGTCGTCGTGCAATCAAAAGCTCGTTATTGTGTGTTCTCTGAACTGTGATGATCCACTTTTCCCTGCGGGTCAAGTTCAATCTATCTTATGTATTTTTTTATCAAATAAATAAATTAATTTTCAAATTTACGCAGCAACTTACTTTCTTGGAGCCATAATTATGTTGCGTATCAGATTAAACTGTTTCCAATGCAATGTTCAATAATATAGGTCTACTTTATATTCTTTGTGAATATGCTAAGAAATATCCTTTGGCTTTGTATAAAACATTTAAATATATATTTAATTTATCACATACATATTATTCTAAGATGGTACAATATTGAAACGTGCTGGCTACCACCAGTTTAGCTGACTGAGCTGAGCTGCTGTTGATCTCTAATATTATATGTAGCCTGTAAAATGGTTTTGTTTTATCATTTTCTGTTTTTTTTTTTTTTAGTTGGCCATAGAATATGGAATTAAATTCATGGAGACAAGTGCAAAAGCCAGCATCAATGTAGAGGATGTAAGTATCACATGATGAGCTCAGAAATACAGTTATTTAAGGCATGGCATGGATTAGGCACCAACTATATTTAATGCATTTTAGATTTTATTTGACACATTAAAATTAATTGAATGTATGAATATATTACGATTTCTATTGCAGTAGAGAGACCTTCATTATATTAAAGATAAACTGTTGTAAAATAAATGGAAAAAATCAACATAGAATTGTTCAATATCAACTTCAATTTTTGATGTATGATATTTCAATTCTTTTTTAGTTTTTTAACCTTGGGATGCGAATTTCATTTCCTTTGTACTTGACATAAATCAAACTTCCTATTCAGACTCAAATTTTTAAAAATATATTTTTACTGATCTATTTAAAGACTAATGAAAACAATTAAATTTTCACTGATTCAATTATAGACTACCAAAAATTCTTCAATTAATTGTCCAATTTAACGGTCTATGAAGTCTAATTGTTGATACATCCTGCCGTAATTTTAGCAATGCGCATTATTTAGCATGAGATGAGGAAAATTTAACAGTCGCCCAGTTCGCATTGGACAATCTGGGGGAAATTTTCACTTGATTACTCACTTCAGTTAATTTGATCAAGAAGGTTTTTTTGCCCTGGATTTTTTTGTACAAATGACCAGGAACATGGGTTAGTTTGACCAGAATATAATGACAATGCTTAACTTTAAAAAATTTTTTTTTTTTTTTATAACAGGCTTTCTTCACACTAGCCAGAGATATTAAGGCCAAAATGGACAGGAAATTGGTAAGTTCTGATTCCTTGAGGCTTATTTTAGCATGATCTGATAAGTCTGGTAGGGTGTCATTTTTAGGCCCTCATTAGTGTCATTTAAATTTCTAGGTATTTACTTGGGTGTTGCCTAGCTGTATTTGTGTTCCTTGGCTGAGTCAACTTTGGTATTATTTCGACTTGGGTACCATCACTATGTGTACTTTGGTGTCTTCCATTGCACAAAATCTACTGTAGAAAAATAATTCAAACAAATGATCACAATTGGTATATTCAAAAATGTTCTATTAATTATATGACTTGTCAGTGCTATTACATTCCTTTGGTCTAAAATATTTATTGATATCTTTGTATACTTGGCCTCATATCTGCAGTTGGTAGGTCAACTAACAGTGTCATTGGTTCAAATCTCAATTGAGACTTAAATTTTCACATCCCTTTCTTCTCCCACACCCCCAAATGTAGGTGATATTTAATTTCAGTTATTTGACTTGTTATTCCTATTTTTATCAGGATGCCACACAACCACCGAAGAGCTTTCCCGACAGACCCAGTGAGTCAGGAGGCAAGCAAGGTTGGAGATTCTGTGCTCTTCTGTGATCATCTCCAACCCACAGAATACCTTGCCACCGGAACCACCAACTATTCACAAAGAATCGTCTGCCTTCTATCAGTCACATTGGCTGTAAGCTGTCTGTAGGCAACGTTTCAGGTTTATGTCTTAAGTGTATTTTTGGCAGTAAATTGTCAGAATCAAAGTTCTGCAGTAGTGGATAATCTTCAAAATAAATTTTAAGATAATGTCTTGATATGTGTAACTGATTTTTTTCACACTGTTCATTCAGTTTATTTTTATATACAGAAAAGTATTAATAACAATTATGAATTTGATGTTACAATCAGTTACAACATATTGTCTATATAACAACATGTTTTGTCAGACATATTTGTTGTCTATATATTAACATGTTCTGTCATAGACATTACTAATGTTCTATCTGTATATTCCCTCAGTGTATCTTCTTTTCCATGTGACCGTAATGGATACAAGCTGCAGAGTGTCACGTTCGTTTGAATTAGTTGCGTGCACTGCTAGGCAAGTTTATTCGATTATTTGTGTTTATTTAGTTTTTCACATCTGATAGAGGGTTATATACTCCTATACCACTTCTGATGCCAACACTGACTCCATCAGGATAACATATAGAACTATTATGGTTTAATTTTAGCATGATGTATTTGTCTAGTGTGGACATTATTTGAAGGAAACAAGTTACTGTATGTTGTTTCCATATGGGATGGAAGACTGTGTTTGCTAGTAGAACTGCTTGTTGGTTCGACTCATAAATAGCTAGTTGATTGAACCCCCACATATTAATAGAGGACTGGTGAATTAAAATCCCTATCAAATTTCATAATAGCTTGAAAATTAGATTATCATCTACCCTCTCCCCAACCCACCATCCATGAGACTAATTAATAGATTTGGAATGAACATTTTCTCACATTTGCTGCTAAATTTAAACACGTTCTTTTACCCTCTCCTGTGGCAGGAAATGAAATTCCTCTTTCTCATGTCTCAATTCAAACATCTTTATAAATAACCACCGAGGTGTATTTGTTCTGAAGCTCATACTAGTAAAATCAGATAGATTGCCCACCTAATCATGTGAATTGTACTAATTATTCAGAAGTGATTAACCATGGAGTTTCTTAAATTAAAATTTTTGGTTTTCAAATTAAATACGTTGACACATACAACCTTCTTGGTCAATTATTTGGTCAGCTACAGAATCAACTTGTGTCCTTACAAACAGTATTGCAACATGACTTAAGAATTGTCATTCTTGTAGGAATTTAATTTTAACACACTGCATTACTTTCTCTTATTAATAGATGAAAGTTTTATTCATTTAAAGATGTATTTTGGTTTGTAGAAAAGGGTGGGGGAAAGGGTTAAATAACACTGACGGGTTCTTACAATTGATTTACATTTTTTTAATTTACCGTATATTCTTGCTTATAAGATGAGGCTTAAAATAGTAAATTACGATTGAAAACAGGGGGTCGTCTCATGCGCACAACACCTACACATATTTTATTATTAGGTGATGTTCATCTTATGTGGAGCGTTAGTATGAATGAATAGTATGAATGAATGCAATATTAAATGCGGAAAATAAGATTTTGATGAACATATAAAAGCCCATAAAAAAGTATCATTTGGAAGATTAGCCCAACATTTGGCTGCATTTTTAGCCAGCTAGGTGCATATCAGGACTGTAAAAAGCAGCAAAAAGTTGGATTTCTGATGGTGAAAGTGAGGGGGGGGGGGTGGTCGTCTTTTACGCAAGAGTCTACGGTATGTTAAACTTGGTATATTTAGCTTTCATGCTGATTTGTTAATGGTAGTATGGATTAAGGAGCATATAGATTACTTTCAAGAGATGATTTAAAATGGAAAAGATTTGCATGGTTAAAGAATATTCACATTATGTGTGTATAAAGAAGATAAAGGTGATGTACAAATCTTTGAAGTGTCATATAATCAATTTTGGCAAACGACACAGTTGTTAGCAGGCGACATCACTGCAGATGCTGCTGTTAGCAGACATCACTATAGATGATATACCGTACTCGCGCGAATAAGCGCCTCATTTGAATAAGCGCCCCCTTCTAATTTGAATAAACGCCCCTTTAATAATCCAATCAATCCTGGGACTGTGGATGTTGGCATGATTTGAGGTGTGGAGTGGAATCACATTCACATTCATTATCAAAATGAGGATATTTATCTTGGACAGATGAGAGCTCCCTGGACAGATAGTATATTTCCAACTTTCATCCTCTTACATTTGTGTATAGCCTAGTCCTACGCCTTTTCTGATAATTTGCACCTTTTACACATTCTCATCATCTGATGATGATCATGCCATCCTGCTAATCTCAATCGGCCGATGGCCAACAAGCTAACCACCACCACTAATTTCATCTGCTATTCTGCTGTTATGTAGTACTCACAACATTCCTGTCATGACAAGCCATGCTCTCTGGACGATTATCTTTTCTGCCGCACCACAATTTGTAATTTGCGGTTTCCTGATATACTTATATAATTGTTTTTCATTCATAATGTGTCTCTTGAATTTAATAAGTTCTCATAAGAACCCCCCTCAATTTTCATCTTTTTCCATAAGCGCCCCTCAATTTTAAAAAGTGCAAAAAATATTTTAAGCGCCCGGGCGCTTATTCGCGCAAGTACGGTAACTATTTTCAGAGGGGAAAATATATTAATCTTTGTAAATTTCGATTTTAATTTTTCCTGTATTTAAGTATTTTCATGTTTAACTCCCAATATATTTATTGCTGGACACCCCTTCAATCACTTTTAAATTTTGCATAAAATCCACAAACCAAAACAACTATACTTTTTCAGGTTGCGGAGGAAAAAAATTGTTGATGTGCAACTGTTTTTTTAAGACACAGAAAACATACTTGAAGAAAAAATTGGGAATGGTTGAGATATAGATTTATTTGAATTGAATTTTTGAATATTTAAAAAACTGGAAGGTGAGGGGAGAGGTGTGGAAAAAAGGGTGGTTATGCAACTTGGATGTTATTATGCTGTAGAGATTCAGTGAATGGACATTTCCCCTCATTTTGCCGTTTTGTTTTCGCTTTTGCTAAAGAGCAAATTATGTACTAAGTTTGCATTTACTGTTGTCCAAGTTTTAAAAAAGAAATAGTGCAAAATTACTTTTCATTAACAGAAATACTATATAATATTTATGTATTATAACATAGGTGTAAGTACATAAAATTGGGTCAGCTGCTACTTCAATTTTATTTTTACAATTACAATTTTATTAAACTTATTAAAGTAACTAATAACATGCATACTATAATATAAAAATAAAATTTGGTTGTACACCTTTGTATGGGAATATATAAGTTGAATTCATATCTTTTTTTTACAGTAGGTAAATGTAATACATGCTATATACCATCTATGTATATACACTATATGTAAACAGTGCACCCTCCAATTCGAGACTACTTTTTCAGTGAACCAAACAAGTCTTTAATCTTTTAATACAAATCTCAACACTCTAAATGGAAACTAAATCCAAGACCACCCCAAATTTGTCAGATCCCAAATGTTGTTTAGAATTGGAGGGCGAACTGTATATATAAATATATATCTGTATCTATCTTTTTATGTCTGTAGATTCTATATAGATGCTACGTAGAATAATGATGTATTCAAATTAAGAATTGTCTTCTATCAATTGATATAGATTCTTTAAAATGTGTATTTTTAAGTTCTTAATCATACAAGGCGATAGGAAATTACTCAAACTAGTTGAGTGAATGATTGTCTTGTGATGGAGCCTAAGTGAAGTACAATAATACTGAATTCAACTTGTGCAAGTATGCAATGCATACCACATCTTGCCTATTAAGAGTGATGCATGTTATAAACCCTGCAGTGGTGTCTGAATTTCAATGTACTGCAGTATGAGCCCCTATGTTGCTGACCATTTTAAATATCTCAGTATGAACTGATGAGTCTGGAATTCAATATGATTTTTATTTAGTTTATTTGTTTCAGGGGAGTATGTGGGCGATCATGTGCTGGTTAACCTGATGGTATTTTTAAGTACACACCAATAAAATAAAGCTGTAAAGTAACCAAGCTTACTGCCTTATTGTGTCTCCTTAAAAGGTTGTTTATCTTATGAGTTGTGACTGTGGAGTTGAATAGCTTGTTGGTTAATATGCTTGCCGTCAATTCCTGTCAGTGTTGTAGGATTTTCTACTCCCTAAACCCCATATTGAAATATAGTGTGTAAGGCAAGACTTTTTTTTATACTTTGTTTTCTCAAATTTATTTTTTTAAAGATCGTCAGAGGAGTCTTGAGAAAGGGACCAGCACAGTTGTAATTATATTCGCTGTTGACAGTTGCATGTGTTGTGTGCTGAAATATATAAACAAAACATTGTTGAATGGCCCACTGCAACCTATCATCTGAATAGTGTTATTACTTCTAGTACAGTAGTATCTCAATGTTGCAAGTTGAGATGCTTGCCTTCCAATCCCAAGGTCCTAGGTCCAATGCTGGTCATTTATGTGCCTGTTTCATTTGTGTAAGGCGTTGCTCCTTCTCGGTGATAAAGTTTGCTATTAGCTGCTCAATGTGCCTAAATAATGAAAACCAAAGTTTTAATGTAAAATGCAGATGACATGCTCTCCGATGACAATATTCATGAGGTTATTTGGAGCCCACATTTAAGTAGTTCAGGGGTGGGCATAAAAATCGGTCGGAGGGCTAAAGTGACTTTGATTTAACACCAAGGGCCGCACCCAAACTTTGATGTTTCCAGTGAGCTTCCAAAAACTTCCAAGCACTGCTTTTACACCATTTTATTTTTAATTTCAGTGTTATTTTTTTGTATGAACAGTGTTGAGCCGTTAAAATCAAGGTGTTTTCTAGTCAATGTTGCTTGGCGGGCCGTCCCCATAGGGTTTTTAATTCATCTTCGCGTGCCGCACTTTGCCCACCAGTGAAGTAGTTCAACAGTTTTGGAAGAAGACCAGTGGGTAAAGACCTCTGGCACCTAGAAAAAATTGGCAATTTTTAGTGAAGAAATACTTCTATGCAACAAATTCCATTCACTCACCAAACTGTCTACTTATATCATAACCTATACATAAATATCTTCATAATTACAGTACAAAATATTTCAAAAAGTTACGTACACAACAAACCTTGCAACAACCATACTTCACTCTACACGACATCACACATTTCCTAACTGTCAGCTGAACATAATAAAAAAGTTCTATGATGATGCATACAACTACTATAACTTTAAACGTTTTTCTTTATGCTCAATACACATAACAACACTCCACACAACCTCCACCCACTGACAGCACTTAAACATTGGCAGCTATTGTCAAGTGGGCTATTGCATCATTGATGCTCTCGTTATTCACTGCTGTCTGTCAGCAAGATTACGCTAGAACTAATGAATGGATCATTTGGTGGAATGGGGCAAAATAATTATTCAATTTTTGGGAGGTTCAAAGGAGGTCAAGGTCACAGAAATTCAATTTTTTTGAAGTATAAAATGTTCTTGTTCATTGTTAAGGCTTTACCACACTATCAATTTCTCTGTCAGAAATATCTCTGATTTGCCCATATACAATACAGCCTTTCCTTCAATTTGCATGTTTAAATACAGACACAAATGATTGCAAATTGACACCCAAGTTATGAGCTTAATCATTTATTATGCTTTACATAATTCACCGTACTTAACAAATTTTAGGAAAGTATAATACATACTCCAAGTATTGAAATACACGCCATCGTGTTGGGATTCAATATTTCGACATTAATTATGTCATCATCAGGAATGATTAATGACATAATTAATGTCGAAATATTGAATCCTAACACGATGGCGTGTATTTGAATACTTGGAGTATGTATTATACTTTCTTATCTGAGATTAATCAGTGGACCTTTCGGTTTTTTTAACAAATTTTAGTTTGACTGATTTACCTAGTCAAAATCATGGTCAAATTTAATTTACTCATACAGAAATAAATGATGAAATGTTAAAACAAATATTTTTTTTTTTACATTTTGATTATGTATAATTTAAAAGTATGAACTGGTAATAATTTTAATTCAAAGATTTACTAAGCAACACTACGCATAAGTGCCTTTTCAACTAGCTACAGTTTATATAGCTTCTTCAACTTATGTACCGTAGTAAGTTCTTGCCATTTGCACAACATTGTATTTTTTGCACTGTAAAATTGTAGATTATTAGGCTGATACATCAGTTAAAAAAAGTATGATAAACTGTAGAGCTTCAACCACAACAATTTGTGTCACGGTACAGCAACATGTACTCTATAAGCATGTACAGTACCCTTACAAAATATTTGAGAAGGAAGCATTGTCTGCTTGAAAATTGTTCCCTCCAGGCACTGCATCATTATACAGGTGGCCACTTATCCAGGTGGCCAGCTGAGTTGACGCCCTCCAATAACATGAAGGTGAATATGGAATACCGTCTGACAACCATCAGCTCCGTCGTTCAAAACTACACGGAAACCGTTGTCCAGTTTCATATCAGCTGCAACCTTCTGAGCAATGAACATTAGATGTCCTAGAAGCTACAGAAGAAAATTAGAAAATTGCAATCAGAGATTAGGCTCAAGTATACACTGTCATATGCCTCAATTACATAAAAGGTGTCATCCATAATTAAATGAAATGCATGTTTATTGAGTTGAGTTTGAGAATATAGAATTGTACATTTAAAAGTATTTTTTAAGTCTAGTCTGAGAGTGCCACTTCTGGCAATCCCGAGGTCACTAGAATCTCATTAGGGGGAGGGGGTCACTCTCTGACTTAGTCAGAAGGCCCTCGGATGGCGATGCGCTAAAGTTATTCCTTTATCACTCAGTCCCCCTTTTTGGACAGCGGCACAAAAAAATCAGACTTGGTGCGGCGCTTAATTGAGAACGCCGCTTATTCGAGCATTTACGGTATCTCCCATAATGTTTAAAATTATGGATGGCCGCTAATTTCATTTCAATACAGTTATGGAGAAACATGGATATTTATTGCAGTATTACGTTACAACATACAGTAGCACAAAATTACAAAATATCAATACACTTAATGCAATGTTGCAAAGCCCAGCATACACTGTACGACTGTCACCCGACTTCCATCTCCACTCTCTGTGAATGTCACTATCCGTGAATGATGACATGATGTCATCTGCTGATTTTCAGTGGCAGCCTGAGAGGGTCATCATACAAAAAGCTCTGTGGAATCATGTCAGCCGACAATCGTTGCCGCAGCGTGTGCATGGCTTAAAACACACATCGGTTATAAAAAGTTTGCATGTGATAATTAATATTTTGGTGTCTTTACCTGTTTGTCTTCCTCTTTTGCCTTAGAGAGCTGGGCTATTTGTCTTTTGGGAATGACTAAGAAATGAACAGGAGCTTGTGGGTTGATGTCTTTAAATGCCAGGCACTGCAAATATAATAAAAAAATTGACAATAGATTCATAATATTTATTATAGTGTAAAAATTCATTTTTTGACCACCACTGGCCTAGAAAAAACCTTTAAATTAGGCCTAAGCAGTAAGCGAATAGGGAAAGAAAGTGACAAATATTGGTACTTTCAAAATCTTGCATTTTAAGCTGAATAAAGCAAGGGCACACACACTGTAAATTATTATTTGCACTGAGATTTGCGCACACGAAATAAATAGGTGTGCAGAATTGCAAATATTGCATGTTGAGACAAATGATGTACATGGACGGATTTCAAAACTTTTGCGTGGGTGATTTCCCACGCTGGTCACCACTCTTCACTTTCTACTATCTCTCATTCACACAGTAATTTGTCAGATTATAATTAATAATACGTTTATAAACAAATGCTAGACCTCTTTACCATATATTTAATATTTCATTTCAAAAATTAACATTTCCATCTGCTTTTAAAACTGCACGTGTTATCCCATTATTTAAAAAAAGCAAGAGAAAATTGCTGAGTAATTATCGACCGATTTCTATTCTTCCTGTTTTAAGTAAAGTTTTTAAAAAATTATTTAATGCAAGATTAATTTCTTATTGTGAATAATATAATTTGTTCTATAAACATAAATACGGTTTTAGGAAATAAAAATATAATACAAAATTATCTTTAATTAATCTCGGTACTGACAATGATATAAGTAGAAGAATCGCACTTCCACAAACAGCCTTCAAACTACTTGATAAAATTTGGAACTCCAATATTTATGAAAAAGACCAAGCTGAAAATCTTTAAATCCAACATTATCTCGGTTCTACTATATAGCGCAGAAACCTGGTAGATTACAAAAGCTGACAAACAGAAGCTCAATATATTTCAAAGAAGATGCTTGAGAAAAATAATGAAGATACGCTGGCCAATGAAAATAACAAATGAAGAGCTGTATCAAATTACTAATACTGTACAAATGAACTAAGTCAAGAAATACATAAGAGGAGATGGCGATGGATTGGACACCTCCTTCGAAAAGAAAATGGTAACTATGCCAGACATGCTACCATGTGAACCCCAGAAGGCAGGAGAATAAGAGGAAGGCCAAGAACCACCTGGAGAAGAACAACTGAAAAAGAAATAAATGAATTTGGATGGAGAAGCTGGGGTGAAGCTTCAGCAGTGGCCAGAGACAGGAAGAAATGGAAAAACATTACTCAACAAAGCTCAATCTCCACAATTAGGAGAAAGGAGCGGTAAGGTAATCTCGTTAATAATCTCCAATATGATATAGATAATAAAAAATCTTCAGTTGGTATTTCTATTGATTTTCATAGAGCTTTTGATGCAATTGATCACTCTATTTTATGTTCTAAATTATATCATTAAGGTGTTCGAGGCAATGCATGTAAATGGCTTTCTAATTATCTTTCCGATAAAAAACAGTTTATGTCATCAAACAATTATGTTTCAGATAAATTAAATAGTTCTTGCGGGGTTCCCCAAGGCTCTGTATTGGGACTAACTCTTTTTTAAATTTATATCAATGATGTTCTTAATTCATCAAATTTTTTTGATTTTCGTCTATTTGCAGACGATACTAATTTATTTCACTCTTTTTTTGGAAACATTCTTGATTTATCAGACATTAAATATTGAATTTTTTAAAATTATCAGTTGGTGTGATTCTTAAATTGACAATAAATTCAGAAAAATATAATTATATGATTTTTCAGTCTAAAAATAAAAATATTAGTATTCAAGGTAATTTTGTTATTAATAATGTTTTTAATTAAAGAAACTTTGTTAGGTTGGCATTAAGTTTGACAAATATCTTTCCTGGAAATCTCATATTGATGACGTATGTGACAAGATTAGAGAAAAGGCTGGTTTCCTTTTCAAGGTCAGACATTTTGTTCCACAAAGTACTTTGATTACACTTTATAATTCATTCATATTTCCTATTTTAATGTATGGTATCAAGGTTTGGGGAGGCACATATAATTCATATTTAGAACATATTTTTCTTTCTCAAAAAATGATCGTTAGATGTATTACTTTTTCGCATTTTAGAGCCCATACTCCACCATTGTTTTTTATGCTTAAAATTCTTGATATTTATAAATTACATGAATTATATGTTCTTAAATTTATTTTTGATATTTATCATGGAAGAACACCCCATATACTAGCAATTACTTTCAAAATACCAATCACCCATATAATAATAGATTTAACAATACCATTAATTTTGCCTGGTCCAAACCTCGTATCAGTTTAGGCCAACACAGAATTCATTTTTTGGTGTTAAATTATGGAATGATCTTCCCTTAGTTACTCAAAATATTTATACTTTACAGAACTCATTTTATTGCAGTCGTTAAAGAAAAGTTATTTATTAATCCACTTAATTCAACTTATCACATATATAATTTTTAATTTTATAATTACTTTTGTTTATTATTTTATTTATCTGATGCTTCGCTTATTGTTCATCCAAATTAATTTATTCAACTTATTGTAAATCTAGAATATTTGGTTTGTATTGTTTTTCATCAAGAATGTGTTAAGCTTAGATTAGTTTTATTTAATTATACCTTATCACCTTTTGTCAATTATGTTATTATTATAATTGTTGACAATAAAGTTGGGCGCTAATGCACTTTAGTACTGTAACACTTCTATCTTCAAAAATTGTCTTTTTACCTACTGTGCGCTCCTAACAATATCTTACGATTCTTTTTCATCCAGTTCTACTCACTAATTACACCACTTTTTCGCATTTTATTACTAAAAGCAACGTTCTTTCCCAGCGATTCATGACGGTAGCGACTCGCGACGTTTGTTTATAAATAATTAATTGCCAGGTTGTTATCCAATTTTAAGGACAGCTCTGTTCGTTGCCAGGTTTGATTTTTTTCCCCATTTTGTTAAAGAGGTGCCCCCCCCTCCGAGGCCCTGGGCGGCCCCAGACCCTCAACTAATGGGTCGTGGCAGCGAAGATGTCACGGGGCTCATGGCCGCTCTTGGCGGCCCTGTTGACGGTAATTAGTATGACCGAATTTGAGCAAACAATAATTATCACACATAGCACCTTTATTACATTTAGACCCAAAACTTATTACAATTAGAACCTTTATTAAATTTAGACCCAAAAGGATTTCACATAGGACCTTTATTACATTTAGATCCAAAACTTATTACAATTAGAACCTTTATTACATTTAGACCCTAAAATTATTACACATAGGAACTGTATTACATTTAGACCCAAAAATTATTACAATCAATCAACCATTTGTCAATCATGGCCATTATTACACTGCATTTAGAACATTTATTACATTTATTCCCAAAAATTCTTAGAACCTTTATTATATTTAGACACAAAAATTATTACACATAGGACATTTATTACATTTAGACCCAATAATTATTACACTTTGACCCTTTATTACATTTAGACCCAAAACTTATTACGATACCTGTTCATCTTCATAAATAATATCCGCAGGAATTTCCTTGCGAATAATTTTTCCAAAAATAGTGTCTCCCCCAACAGAGGCCATGGTACTGCTGGTGTGGTAAGCGACTTTCGCACTGAAAACCAATATACATCAAAGATACTAGTATCTTTGATATACATGGTTATAAGTTGCGGTCGGCACTTTTTCCAGAAGCTCAAAATAATGCTGATCAAAGTGCAATGTTTCCTGATGATGAAGCGATTAGAATTGAAAACGCGTCGACAGTACAACCAAGCCTACCTTGCTTGCTTCGTACTTTCTTGATGACCAGGGGTGGCCCCAGAGGGGGGGGGGCTATAGCCCCCCCCCCGTCGGGGAAGCATAGCCCCCCCTCGTCGGGGAAGACGATAAATTTTGTCGGGGAACAAACAAATAAAAAAAATATTTACATGTAATATTCGTTTAGCCACCATATCGTTTGTGTTAACTTTTCAACACAAGAACCACAATAACAATAATAATAATAATAATAATAATAATAATAATAATAATAATAATAATAATAATAATAATAATAATAATTCAATACGTTCTGTTATGATAAATGCTCATTTAAATAGCCTCATGATGGTTGGAATACATCGTGATAGGTGAAGCAACCTCGACCATGACAACGTGGTTGACAGATTTCATGCAAAATTTCCAAAATATAGAATTTCACTTTCAAGAATGAGGATTTGAAAATAAATTAGATGGTTACATTGCATACTCTGTGTTTCTTGCTTTCTTCAAAATGTTTTGGTTTTGGAAGCTGGTGTCAACATAGAAAGCATAGCCTACATGAAGTCATATTATAGTAACTCGATGCCTATCAAATAAGTAATAAAAATTCGCCATAATTCATCAAATATCCGTGGCTATCCCCTGGACCCCCACCGGGGGCCCCTAGGCGGCCCCCTGGCCCCCAGCCAAGTGAGACTTGATTCGCTCCACTAGCCCCCCCCCTTATACACATCTAGATACTAGCCCCCCCCCCCCGTCGGGGCCTTTAGCCCCCGTCGGGCAGGTCCTGGCGCCACCCCTGTTGAAGACTGGTTGAAGATTTCAACTTGATACATTTTAATGAATGAGGCGCCAGGGGTGGCGCCAGGATTTGCCCGACGGGGCCGAAAATTTTGACAATTTAGGGGTTTCAAAGACTTATTTAATCGATTTCAGAGTCCAATAATATGTAGAAAATACATATAATTTTTTTTGCTCCCCGACGAATTGTGCTTTTTCTCCCCGCCTCGGGGGGGAAGCTCACCCCGACGGGGATCCCTTCCCCCCCCCCCCGCTGGCGCCACCCTGTGAGGCGCTACATATCGGAGAAGAAACAAAAATTGTATGTATTTTCTACATATTAGACTCCAATATCGATTAAATAAGCCTTTGAAACCCTTAAAATTGTCAAAATTTAAAAACTGTCTAAACCTTTTAATCATAGCTCGACCACACCCACTTTGCCTTCGTCGGGAAAATCTGACCCCTCGTCGGAGGCATCCCCCCCCCCC